CCCTTGCGTTCTCTCTCGCTCGCACGTAGCATAGCGTACTCTTTCGCTATGCTACATGCGAGTGAGAGAGAACGCAAGGAGCACGGAACAGAGTATGTCCTTTTCTACGTGCACCTTGGCCCCCAGCCCCCACTCCTCAACACTCGGTCTAGATATACTATGTCTATGTGAGAAACATATGCCATATTGTCATTTGATCATAATACTCAATCCGAAGTTGGCCATATCGCAGGGCCGAAAATGAAAAGGTAGATGTCGCCCGCGATATTTCAAGTTTATAAAACTCGTATAATATGTAAAATATTTACATTATATCATATATCGTTGCATTTGTTTCAAACAGCGCTACAACTTTTTTCATGCCAAAAAATTCATATTATTATAAAAAAATTATGCGTACCTGTCCGTTCTTTAACATAGATAGTTTTTGGAAGCAATCACTATACTCACAATAGAGTTTGAACCATTTAATTTGATATATATTTGTTACGGTCTACCTCTTTTAGTTTAAAAAATACAAGGGGGTGGCGACTTTTGGTTGGACACCCTGTAATATATTATCTCGGACAGTTTGCGCAAACACAGACTTTATTTACCACTTAATGTATTTTAGTCTAACGTAATTATTACGCTCCCGTAATTACCGCGCAAATAAAAAGAAAGTTTGTCCGCGAACCGATATCGATTATTCAATTTTTGCACTTATTTTTTGCGCGTCACTCACCATTTCTCCTGCAGAATGTCGAGCAACCCGTTGCTCGTGTAATTCGCTATGACTTTAGATATGCTCTCCTTTAAGGGATGTCCTTTCGTGAGGGCGATTGCGTAAGTGTCTTCATTGATGGTGTCGCCAATCTTTTGCAACCGACAACCATCGTCGGTCGCGCGGTAATAATCCAAGATTGGCGTGTCCGCGATTAGGATGTCCAGAGTGCCGTTCCTTAATCTTTCCACCCCCTCGGCGACATCCGACAAAGAAAATCGAGACATGTGAGACCATAATTGCGGATTCGCTCTTTGCACATAATACTCGGCCGCAGACGCTCTTGGCGCAGCAACTCTCTGGGATAACAGCTGTAAAATGTACACAAGTTTCAGAAATTTATAATTGAAAGAGATATGCTAGAGATATGCTTGAACAAAATACATAATTTCCTCTCGGATTCAAATGTTAATTAATACTGACACACATTTCATTTCATTCATAATATTTTATAAATAATAATAAATTTTCGACATAATTATCATAAAAAAATAACTAATTAACAGTGAATACAATGGAGATAAAAAATGATTTAATACTTTTCTTTTAATACAAATTCGCTTTTTTTACAACGCCTTTGAATAATCAACAAATTTACCGATAATAAAAAAGAACCGAGATACTTACACTTTTATCGTGATAATTGCTCACTGCAGAATGAAAAAACAGACCGGCGATAAGGGCGGCAATGTTGGCCGTGTACGACGCCACGAAGATAACAGAGAAGCCACCCCAAATATTGATGAGGAACTTGTTAGGCCAGGATTTCGGTGCTTTAAAGGCCACGAGATGACCGCACAGGAGACCCCACATCACCCACAGCGCGGAGGCGATGGAAAAGTTCTTACTGCGCTGCCTGCCCCAGGGATTCAGGCCGAACGGGCTGAACCATTCGTAGAGCGCCACGGCGATTGCGGTGAAGTTGAGAGATGTGAACACGGCTATCCACAGCTCAGTGCTAAATGGAAACAGGAACGCGAACAGCGGTATCTCAGAACGGAGTTTCGGCGCCGTGAGAAAACTCACGCCGCTGAAGTAGTATGGCGTGGTGAAGTCCACCACTGCGGCACGATGAGCGGATACGCTTAAGGGTGCGAACGCCATCTGAGCCCGGCCAGACACCAGTTCGCCCATCACACCGTTCCACGTGCCGCTTCGGCCGTTCCGTTTGCCAAACAGTCCATCCTCCGCCAGGTAAAGATCAAAACGGAAGCCTAACTCGCGCGCAACCACCGTCAGCAAATCCATGCTCAGCCCGTAGCAGCACATGACGACATCACCCTGCTGGCAAATAAGACCGCGTAAGCAGAAACCTTCCTGCAGATCCGTGATCATCGTGAAGGGCGACGCTAGAGCAGTGACAATGCGATAAATCGGCATCCCTATCTTCTCGCCACCTTGCTCGAGGTACGCTGGCACAATACCGCCACCTGGCCAGATTATGGTATCCAAACGGACCTCTCTACCACCCTTGATGGTGCCAACTTTGGTCCACCTGTTAAATATTGGTGTGATTAATTATTTTCCGCCTTTGAGCGTATAATAGGTGGAAATATTTACAGGGGACCGAGTTAAACCTTAATTGAGTCTTATTCCCGGGAAACCTGACGGCTTGCAAGTTCAGCAACTGAAACTCTGCCTTGTCTCTAGAGATCTGTCTCATGGATCTCCTCAATTTGCTAGTCAGAATTGCGGAAACGTTCTCTCTCGCATCGCTCGTCATGAATCTGGCGTTACGATCCGGAAAGCATTCTGGGACAAAGTGTTCCCTGAGCTGCGGCTCGTGCATACGTTCCAATCGTTGCTTCGCTTCCTGAAAGGTCTCGTCCAACGCCTGCGAGGTCTCCCTTAGCATTCTGGAGAGTATAGTATCGCTGCCCATGATCTTGATGCCAGATGGTCTGAGTGCGAGCATACCGACTGGCATAAAGTTCTTGGAATTGAGTTCCCTGTCGCTTGCGATCCTCCCGTCTTCCTCCTCATCGAAATTGAAGCTTCTGTCCTCTCGCTTGGTCACTGTCCTCTCATCCCGCCATCTGTACTCCTGCAGCCGGTGTATGTCGTTAGTTAAACTCGGCAACGAACTCATCAGCGGCAGAGGCCGCTCGTCGTGATTTATCGCTCGCTCCAGCGGCAAGTTCTCGTTCGTCGCGGCTGCGGCGGCAGCGGCGACGCGCGTGCCGTGAATCACCGAGCTGATGATATTGGGCTCGTTCGGACGTAGCTCTGCCTTGAGATCCAACCACAGCCACAAGAATCTACCCGAGAGCATCTCGAATTTGCTGGCTGCCCCGAGGATCTTGCGGGCATTGTTCAGATCGCACGCCATCACCACGATTCCGCCGCTGCCACCCTCCTCGGCCACCCGTCTCAATCGCAATCTCAGAGTTCTGTCATTGGTCGGCAGATGTATGATTGCGCGAGGCGTCAGCCTCGTCGGCTGGTTCATCTGTAGTAGATGGGTTACGGGCAACAGAGTGGTGTCGATAAGGAGAGTGAACGCGTGCCAATTAGCTCGATGCATCAAGGCGGCAGCCGCTGCTCCGATCTCTTTCGGGCTCGAACCTATGCGGTTCTCAAACCGGCCAAGATTTCCCTAAGTAATCAAAAAATCCTTTATCTTTGTGTGTTGCAAGACATTTGTATATTTCGTTTTTTTGTTTTACAAGGCGATATGAAATTTGGTGACAATAATAAAAAGGTATACAGGGTATATATACACAGTATATATACAGGATGTCCCTAAATATGCGCGAAAAATTTCGGGGATTGATTCCTTAGCTAATTTCTTGAAGAAAATTTCATATATACACCAATGTTCTAAACAATTACAGAGTGTTAAGAGTTACACGATGTTCAAGTAAAAAAATGAGATTGCAAAAAAATATATTTTGATCAAAACAAAATTAAACAAAATTATAGCAATTGTTGGAAATAACCTCCAGTCATGATATGTGAATCTGTTCTCCTTCACATTGATTGGCGAATACGATCAAAAATACCAGGTGTATTATGGATTGTTTTGCATGATGCAACTATGCGATTCCTTAAATCTTCGATATTTTCAATGTGCGGTGATATAAGCTATAAGGATTTAAGATGATCCTAGAGAAAAAATATAAGGGATTCAATCGTCTAGAAATCGAACGTCCAGAGGACGTTTTTTTGAACATGTGTGTTAGGGAACGGGCCAAGATTACTTTTAAAAAAACAGGGGCCTGCTTTTTAAAACCTTAATACTCTGTATCTTAAAAACTATGCCGTTTAAAATTGATGCATACGAACTTTTCTTCAAGAAATCACCCAAAGGATCACCTCCAGAATTCTTTCACATATGTTTAGGGACATCCTATGTATATATTTCCTTTGGCATAGTTCCAACTGTGCAATCCTAAATTTTGTAAACGTGTACCTGGCGAAGAAAATCTCGGTGTGTGAACGGCAACCATAGAGCTGGAAGATTCAAGGCGGCAGCAGCCGTGACGAGAAATCTGGCTGCCGATCCTCCTCCTATAATAAGGCTTAATACTGTCTTTCCGCCTTCGATGTCTGTACAAAATTTGTTTAACAGTGACAAGGGATACGACAGGGAATCCGTCATGGGTGCCATCCTTGCTTCTATATACGACACATCCATATCCGCGTGAAAAGATTCCAATCTCGCTTCCTCCCATGCTCTCTGTACGTCTGTCTTGAAAGGGGTCTGAGGCTGTGTTAAACATACCACTATCCGCCAAGATGCGTAAGACGATCTAAGCCTAGCCTTCGCCGCTCTCAGAGATTTCGCAGCATCCGCAGTGCTAGACACTGACACAGAAGCCCCTAACAAAAGGAGGATCACCACTCCCGAATAGGAGCCAAGCATCTTCCTCGGTTTTCCTTGTTTATTCTCCCCTTCCTCTTTTTTTTCTATTTTTTAGCTTTTTTGACGTGCATTTCCGAAGAGCGGGCCTAATCTGAAAGCATAATATGATGTGTATGACAGATAAATTTATATTAATAAATATTTGTTAGTATCGTTATTGTGTGTACAATATTTTTATTTTAAATTATTTCTGAATTACATTTTTTGAGAAACTTTTTTCACACATTATAAGCTGTCACAAATATCAATGCTTTATGAAAGAAAAGCTTAAAAGCCAACAATAATTTTTATATAAAAACGATTAATATAAAATTATTATATAGTATTTTAATAAATTTTTTCTTTCTTTAAATAGCAATATTACACACGATTGAGTAGAATATTCTCACGTTTCGTTTACGCACCGAGAGAAAATATATTTCACCTATGCCAGGGACGGTTACTCCGTTCCATTTGATTTCCCGCAAGTGTCAAAATAACTCTCTCGGAGCACGAAAAAAAAAAAAAAAAAAAAAAAGCATCTCTCACACACACATATACTTTGAGGCGAGAGATTATAATCGCATAATTCGTAAAATGGGGTGCACAAAACAGAGAGACGACCTTACCTCTTGACGGAAGAGTTGGAAGGTCGCGCGTCCGGTGGGGGTTTAAGAAGAGCCGAACAGGGATCGCTTTTTGGCCGTCGCCGCATAATAGCTGTTGTCGATCGTAAACCGGGGTATAAAATCGTGTCGATCGTCGCGAGGCAGTCGGTCAATTGGTCGTCGGTTCGCGGAGGACACGAAGGATGAGCGAAGAGCTACCACCCCCCCGTTACTTGCCCACCCCCGGACAATCTACCCCGTGCGTAACGGCCATTTTCGCGAGCAGCCCCTCCCTTTAAATTTCACCCCTATGATACCCTGTGGTCCACAGGAGCGCGCTCGTGGCATCCTCGTTTGTATTGCGCCTGTCTCTCTTCATGTATATGTGTGTGTGTGTGTATCGGCGACTCTTCGACAATGCCACCAACACTCGCGAATTTTGCTGACGCCTGTTATAAATGTCTCTCGCAGCGTTCTATGAATTAAAAAAGAACGGATTTCTTGGAGCTCCTCCTAATACATAAGGTGTCCCGGAAGCCGTGACCTGATTTTATTTGCACGCTCTTGGGACGCAATCCGATACTTTTCTTGACTGAAATAAATAAAAGCAATAATAGCTTTCGAGATTGATTTGATAATGTGTAAGAATTTAAAAATGTAAAATTGATTTAAATCAAGACTTGAGAAAACTCGATTGGCAATATATAAAAAGATATAAATCTTTGATCTTTTAATGAGAGATTCTAATAAATTTCTAGTCAATTCTTTTTTATATATCAGAAATAGGGATGTTACGTATAAGCAATAAATAAAAATTTTATTTTTATAAGTTGAATTTAATTCAAAATTTAATTAAAATATTCAATGGTGTATATTCAAAAGTTGTACGAATAACGGAGTCTTCTTCGAAATTTTATTTTTAACAAAAATTTTACTTTAAATTCATAAAAAAATATTTTGGAGGGCACCCTGTATATTAAAAAAGAAATAATTTAAATCAAAGTTTAAAGCTACTGATTTGTGTCATTTTTACTCTTTTTCGTATTTATATTTCATGCTCTTATTGATGAAATTAAGTTTTATTAAATGTATGCACTAAGAAAGAACCATTTCTTTATCTCTTCTAAAATATCTCAAATTTTACATTAAATCTTCAAAATCAGGAAATATTATATTTCCAGTAGTGGTATTCTGTGCCTTACATTATCGAAAAAATAGTATTATATTATAATGCCTATGGTACTATCCTTACATTATATGCAATCTTTTTCATAACTGATCAGATGCTGATAAATATTGTGATGTATGTGATGAAGTATGTGTGCAGTAGAATACCTCTACGGAAATTTTCGAATTTTTATATTTTACGATAGATAATAGTGTACAAAGCTTTCTCTTTCGGCCGGAAAATAGCTTCGTATATTTGGGAATTTCTTTTTAATGTACATTTGCGTTATATACATATATACGTTATACGCCATACTGTCATAATTGAGATTTTAACTAGGTTTGCAAGGCGTTGAAACAATAAGGAGATGTATCTCGAAGCACTGCTTCGCCGATCTCGCTCTTCCTTTCTTTTGCCACCTTGTCTCTCTCTCTCTCTCTTTCTAAAGCTAAAGTAACGTAGTTGGAATGCAATTATTGCGGTTATCTCACGGATAAGATCCCCGCTCGCTCTTAGCTCCCCTTCCACTAGGAACTAAATTAATTACAGAAACAGGTTCTCTCGATAACAGATAAGGGTCATTAAAATTAGCTAAATAGATTTTGCTGCGACGCGTCGTTTTCAAACGTGCTCCACGCGTTGTTCAGCTCCATAAAAATCAATTTCGCTATATTCTCATTCGCCGTGCCAGCTTGCTATAACAGAAAGACATTGATTCGCAATAAATTTCTTCTCTCTTAACTTAAAAACTACATTTCTTAGGTTTGTTTAAATAACAAAATTAATATTTACAATATGTCTAATCATATTCATGCAATATTTTATTTTATCAAATTAACATTTACGTAAAATGTAATTATATTACCGATAATAACAAATTATTTATATTTCCATCTTTATTGATATATAATTTACCAGTACACACACATATAAGTGTCATCGTTTTTTTCTTATATAACTCACCAAAATATTAATATCTTTAATTTACCAAATTTACTAAATTAAAGATATTAATATTTTGGTGAGTTATATAAGAAAAAACGATGACACTTATACTATAAACAAAAAGCCATAATATTCAATAATTCAACATAATTCAAGTACCTTGTCCGGATGCACAGCCAGACAGGCTTTTCTGTACGCTTTCTTGACATCCGCGGCCGTAACCAATTGATGCATTTCGCAACGCTGCCATCTGTCAGCCTCCGGCCACAGGACAGTGTGCAGGGTGCAGAGCAAAGCTCGTAGATTGCCTTTCTTGCCCTCCGTCCATTCAGCTATCTTCAACCTATCAGGATCCATCGTCTTAGCCGCTTCTACCTTTCGCATCTGATTTATTGTCTTCGGGCTGTCCTTCTCGGCTTTGCGCGAACTGAAGAAATTGTATCCTTGACTGCCAAGAAGATCCTCGAACGCATCGCCACTCGTCTTCTCTTTCGCTTTACCGCCAAGCGGGTCCGTAGCACCGCTGTTCACGTTATCGTTGGTTTTGTGCATCGTGTTCGGGCTAGAGTGAATCGGTGTGCTTGCGGGCGCCGGACTCGCTGATTGCGGGGTACTCGAGTTCTTTGGCGTACCGTTCCAACTGCTCGCAAGACTTGTTCCCAACGAACCGGCCAAATTGGCAAACGGATCTTTACTGGCTTGAGCGGCAAAGTTCGGCACACTGGCATTTCGTGGCAAGTTCTCCTCAGCATTCGGGATTTTGGCGGTAGAATTGGTCGCGAGGTCGCCAAGAAGATTGTTCGCGGTACCTCCGCCCAGCGGATCGAATAGCATGTCATTGACCTGTTTGACATTACTCGATATTGTCTGACACTGTCCAAATAATAGATCGTTCATGTTCAGATTATTGTTATTTCTCGTTGCGGAGTCATTGTGTCCGAACAATAAATCAGCCGAGGCGCTATTGTTAATCAAGGTAGAGGTGACAGTCTCGGTCTGCGATGCCGATACGCCGAAACCGCCCAAGAGATCGCTTTCGTTCTGATTAGAACTAGAGAAGATATCTAAACCTGGATTTGCCGCCGTGGTGGCGGGAGTATTTGAGGTACTATTAGTATTGTCCGGCATGCCGAGATTCAGCAAATCAGCTTCCTGAAAGTTATTCCCTTCTTTTATGCTCATCTCCTCTTCCTCTCTCAGGTTTTCTGGCTGATGAAGTATTGCTTCATGTTGCGAAACTCTATCGGTTTCGTTTGATTGTGCCTTATGAATCTGTAATAACACCGTAATTAATTATTATCAATTTTTCTGCACTTGGCGTTAAGAGAATTATAAATATAATAATTATTATATATCTGATTAAAGTGGACAAAGCATTCTACCTCTTTCGGACGAAGAGCAGCCGAACAGCGGATCTGGGACGAGATTGACGCAAGTTTCCGCCTCCCAAGGCGCCGGTACTCTGGATAGCTTCGAATTCTCCTCACCTATCATTACGTTCAGCACGATGCGAAATTTGCCACCAATCTCGGGAGCATCGTCCAAGTCGCGGTTCTCAAATGTCAAGGCGCTCTCGATGATAGGTACATAACCGGTATGAAAATGCAACGAGGCGATTTTGATGCCAATCACGCGGCCCAGCTGTTGCCTGGCGTGATGTATCATTATAGTAACGTCACCGCGCACGGCCGCGTCTCCTAAGATCAAACAGATTTTGCCCTCCATCATTCCAAATAGTTTCATTTCTTCGTAGATGGCCTTCTTGGTCGTAAAAACCAACGCGCCGTTGCTGTAGATCTCTATATAAGGACGGCAACCATCCCTCGCTCTAGTGAACAATGGTACCGGTTGTATGACGACGGAACGGAAGACCAAGGGCTTAGTATGCGGTAACCGGCCGCTGCTCAATAAACTCATGTAATTGATACTGCGCAATTCTGAAGGCTGCAGATGCGGCGGCTGGCAACGTCGCGTCGTGAATAAAGCGATAGCTTCCTTGGCTGTGGTTAGGGCTCTGCAGTGAATCAGCAGAGTGCACGCTACCGTGGCGCTCGCTCGGTATCCATCCTAAAGAAAGATCAATTGTGAACTGTTTTGCGCTTCAGAAATTACGCACTTCAGTAATCGCGATTGTACTCACGGTACAATATAGCACCACCACGTGATTGAAGTCGGCGCTCAAATACTGATAGATATCCTGACAGATTTGGTACAGAGCGAACAGCATAGGCGCGTTCGATTCCGGTGTGGCGTAGGCAAACGAGCAATCGATGTGTCTGCCGGGAAGCCTCGTGACGTTTGGCCGGCCGCGAGACAGATTGTACAGCTGAATCTTAGCGGGCGGTGGATGCCTGGCTTGGAGAAAGGCCCTCACGTCCTCCACATGATTGGCGCGATAAGCAGACTCGATCCCGTCGGCCGGATACGGCATAACGAGTATACGCGACGTCACATAACTCGCATCCAGCTCCGTTCTGGCCATGCTCTGCTGAACGGTGTGCATCACCTTGCTGGAGGTATCCTTCAGGTTGCGCAGGATGCTACCGGCGCCGCCTTTCAGCGAATTGAATAGGCCCGTTGTAGCTTGAGTTGCCGGAACTTTGGACACCACTGTCTGCACGGGCGCCGGTCTCGGTGGCGGTATCATTACCGGGTGAGTAGGACGAGGGGGTGGCGGCGGCGTATTTGATGACGAGGATGACGACGACGACGGTGGTGGCGGCGGCGGCGTCGGACGCGGGGGTGGCGACGGCCTGATCGCGACAATTTCGATTTGCGGCGGTTCTCTAGGGTCGAAGTCGTTTGACTCGGCAATCGCTGCCAGACGTTCCAAGAGTTGCGCCGTCGTCAATCTTTGTATGGGCGAGACTTGCAGACCGCGACGGCCTCAATTTCGATTTGCGGCGGTTCTCTAGGGTCGAAGTCGTTTGACTCGGCAATCGCTGCCAGACGTTCCAAGAGTTGCGCCGTTGCGCCGTCTTGTATGGGCGAGACTTGCAGAC